CCCCGCCCCCTTCCCGGACCCCGTGCCCCCCCCCAGAGACGGCCGCCATCGTGTCTCAGGCCACCGACCGCTCGCTGGTGCTCATAGACGAGCTGGGCAGGGCAACATCCACTGCCGACGGCGTCGGCCTCGCCTGGGCGGTGCGCACCGCGAAAAGGCGCGCAGCTGCCGGCCAGCCGCCGGCGCTCGGGCCCCATCTGCTCTGCTCTGCCTTCGAGTAGCGCCCTGTTTTGCGCCACGCACGGCTTGCAAAGACGCTTTCTTGTCCCCAGCTGCCTGGCCGCGCTGCTTCTGCACACGCAGCAGCGCGGACGGGCCAACACCCCGCTCGAACGGCCTGACCCCCCAACCGCCCCAACTGCCCCAACCGCCCACACTGCTGCAACCGACCCAACCGCCCGCTGATGGCCCGTCCAGGTGTGCGAGTATCTGCTGACCCTGGGCTGCCCCACGCTGCTGGCGACGCACTTCAGGCAGCTGGAGGAGCTCGCATCGCTGTACCCCAGCTGCAGGCTCTGGCGCATGCAGGCACGCCGCGGGGCTCGGCGAGCGAGCGGGTCCAAAAGCCCGCAGCGCCCCGCCGCAGTGTTTCGGGCGGGGCGGTGGGGGGTGGGCTGTAAAATCTTGTCTGGTGATGCAAGGTTGCTTGCACTCAGACTCGTCGGGGATCGTGGGAGCAGCCGTCATGTGCTTTTGAGCCCTCGGGGCTGCCGCCCGCCTGCTCAGCTGCCCCCGCAGCACTCCAGATCCCCCGTGGTGCAGGGCGCACGCCGCCCTACCCGTCCCCCACCCAAACTGCCACGCAGGTAGACGTTGCGGGGGACAGCCTGCACTACCGCTGGAGTATGGTTTCCGCCGACGACGCCGGCGGCGGCGGCGGCAGTGATAGCGACGCCGCGACGCACTACGGCATCGCGCTCGCGCGCGCGTTGGGGATGCCCGAGCCGCTGCTGCGGCGCGCGGCGGCCGTCTCAGGGATGCTCGAGTCGGAGAACCGCGCGCGCGCCGCGGCCGCAGAGGCGAGCGGTGCAGGCGAGGGTGAGGGCGTGCGAGGCAGCGGCGGCGCCGGCAAAGGCGGCGGCGCGCGTGCGCTCCGGCAGGTGTACTCGCTGGTGCACCGCCTGGGCTGCGTCGCGCGGCACGCGGCCGCGGCGGGGCGCGGCGGCGAGGGTCCTGGGCGTGGCGCGGGCGGCGGCGGCGGCGGCGGCGGCGACGCGGAAGGGGCGGCGGCGTTTGGCGAGGCGGCGGTGGCGGCGGCGCTGCCGCTGTTGCGGGAGCTCAAAGCTGAGGCGGAGCGGCTGTGCTTCGGCGAGTGATATAGAAGTTTTGGTGCGCTGTGCGTTTATGACATGTTTTGGGTACCCAGCAGTGAGGCCTCTGCAATGCTCGCGGCTCTGCAGGCCTGGTTGCCGTGAGTAGCCTAATATTACACGTTGAGGCGAGGCAGCAGGTTGGGCGCACCAATGCGCAGCGCTGAGTAGGCGCGACGTCATACAGTACACTGGGGGCGCCAGCAGCCAGCCGGCACCTGTCACAGGGGCTCGCACCCTCCTCCTCGCCTGGCAACATTGCCAGATTGAACGAGGATTCTGTTGGCATGATAAGAACTACAGTTCCTTTTCCACGGCGATGCTATGGGAAAAACGGAGGCGCACGGGCCACCCGTGTGCTGTAGGTTTCTTCTCTGACCGCCAATGCCCTGTGCAAAAGCACGACTTTCGGCGCACCCATATGCTTGATACAAAGAGAGGCACCGCTGCGACATGCAGGAAAGAGGTAGCTCTCAAAAAGCGTCACGCAACGTCAGCAGCAGCAAGCGCCAGATGCGACAAGGAAGAATCAGGCGAGCAGCGCGCACGAGCTCTGCGCTGCGCAGCCCCCGCGTTGCCGAAGCCGTGCATGGTGAAGGCAAACGTGGCCGCCAACAAGTTGCGACAAGACGAGGTGCGTCGCGTGGGTCGCGACGGGTGTGCGTACAGTGCAGGCCGCGCCAAGGGGCCAGCGGCCAGCTGCCGCGCGGATGGTGGCGGCGGGCCCCACTGAGGTCGCAGCGCCTTGCGGCTGCGCGGCCTCCATGTTGGGCGGCAATTGAGGTGCAGTGCTACAATTTGGTGGTACAGGCGTTGTGCGACCCGAGGGCCGCCTCCCATCTGCGGCCAGGGGCCTGACTCGCGCCCCCTCACAGCACCTTTCGGGCCGGCAGCGAAGCCCCAGGAAACGCAGAAAACTCCCTGGCTTGGGCCGCGCCCCCGGCGACGCGCTGTCACATCACTCCGCGGCGGGCCCGCCGGCCTGCCCGCCGCGGTTGCTGCCCTCCTCATCCTCGTCGCTCTCCTCCGGCGCGGCCGCCGCCCCCGCCGCGGCCTCCGCCTCGGCCTGCATCTTGGCGGCCACGTACTTTCGGAGGCCGGTGGCAAAGGCTGGGGAGTAGTCGTAGGGGTACAGGTGCAGCACGGAGCCCACCTTCTTGCGCGGAACCTTGACATAACGCGTCAGCCACTTCGTCACCTGCCCGGTGATGTTGTTAAGGGTGTGGTGCGAATGGGGTGGGGGGTGATGGTGAGCGAGGCGAGGTGCAGGGTGCAGAGGGGGGGCGGGATGGCGGCGCCGCGCGCTGCGCGCGATTGCATGGTGGCCACGGCTGACACAGGGACCGTTGCCCTGCGTCATCGCGCTACGTTGACTACCTCGCCACCTGCGCGTGCTTTCGAGCCTCGGCATTCCAAGCCCAACGACCCCAGCACTCCTTTCCCTGTGACTGCCACCGCCGTGCGTGCTGCAGCAGCAGCAGCAGCAGCAGCAGCGGCAGCAGCAGCGGCGGCGGCGGCGGCGGCAGCAGCAGCAGCAGCGGCAGCAGCAGCAGCAGCAGCAGCAGCTGCAGCAGCAGCAGCAGCAGCAGCAGCAGCAGCAGCTGCAGCAGCAGCAGCAGCAGCAGCAGCTGCAGCAGCAGCAGCAGCGCAGTGCGCTCACCAGCAATATGTGCGACCCCAGCACCTGGGGCCGCGCCATGACCAGCGCGGGCAGGTCCTCCTGTGCTACACCCAGGCTGCGCAGGAACGCCAGCTGCGGCTGCAGCCACGACTTAGCGCCGTAACCCAGCACCTGGCGCGGCGTTTGCGAAGGTGGCCCGCGCGCTTTTGAGGCGGTGATGGAGGGCGGCATGCTCGCAGCGGCGCCGGCGGCTGCGACCCTGCGCCTGCGAATTCGGCGAAGCTGCTGCGGGACAGCCGGCGCATGCCGCAGGCCGCACCTGAGGGAAGCGCCGCACGACCTCGGCGCGCTGCTGCGGGTCCAGTCCGAGGCTTTCCGACAGGAACTGCAGGCTAGCCTCTGCCTTGGCTATGCAATATGTGGGCATCTGAGGGGTGGGGGCGCGTGTTGATGATGGTGCGTTCAAATAGGGCTTGCTGGCACCACTGTATGGGTGTGATCACATGCGCCGGTGTGCTGCTGCGCTCGGCGATGCGCACAGCAGCCGCAGTCCGCATGCGCAGCGTCTTGAGGCAGCTGCTTGCGTGGCGCGTCGATTCACCTGCGGGCATTTCAAGAGCAGCTGCTCCAGCTGCTGCGGCTCGCTGAACCCTTCGAGGGCCAGCAGCCGCAACAACGGCTCAACGCGGTCCGCAGTTGAGCTGCTCAGCAGCTCGGGACAACGGGTGATGGCGCTCTGCAGTGCGCGGGACCGAAGGCGGGAGCGACGCGGATCATCGAGTGGGCGGCACTGCCTAAGCAACACAGCGCAGCAGAAAATCGATTATATGTGTGTGTCTGCTGTCAAAAACGCATTTTGCCCACCCTAAAGCAGTACGACAAGTAAGAGACCCCTCACGCACCTGCAGCGCGCTTTGCGCAATCCCGTGCGCGGCGAGGAGGTCGGCGACCGAGGGCCGCTCAGCTGTCGGCAGCGCCGACGGGCGCACGACTGCGGGACAGCTAATAAGTCTGTGGCGCGGTTGCACCGGCCAGGTCGCTCTCGTGCTGCGTGTGCCAAGCAACATGATGATGCCAAACCAACGACGTTTGATCTAAGAGCGCGGCCCACAGCAAGACAAAGAAAGGTCTTCCTTCTCTCTTCTGTGGGCCCGCGAGGCACTTCGACTCGATCGCTTTACACGCGTTGGTGACTGGGCACGCCTTCCGATTGAGGGCTTCTATGTCGGATATGTGATTTGTGAGTCCGTGTTTTCCTTTGAACTGCTTCCCTGGCTCGCCTACACCAAACAAGGTGCATGGCTGAAACATGAGCGGTCATGCCCCCATGGTCATGCTGCAGCTGGAGCGCACCTTGAGCGCTGCCTGAACTCCGGTGCCGCACGTTTCTGCCGCAGTTCATGCATCTGAAGTTAAAAGATGCTCTGAATAAAGATGAACCATGGGTTGACCGCATCTGACGGATCAAGGTACACAGCATACATCCTATCAACGAGGATTGTCCAGCTGTTGATCGGCCGCACCCCCCCCCCCCACACAGCAACTATTGTGGGCGAGTGAGAGGTTGGAAGCGCTGAGCAGGTGTGCTGCCGTGGTAAGCTGTGCCCATAGCGTACCGCATGCGCAACGTAGCGCAACGTAGCGTTTGAAGGCTCAATATGAATGTTTTGACCACGGTCAAACGTATGTGCAACACTCCTGGATCGTGCGATTGGGCCAAGCCATGCAACCTTTGCAGAAGGCTACATGATTTCTACGGTTTCTTGATAGCTGGACCCATTCGTTGGATGACATGAGCTGTTTGGATGTAGCGTCCTGCCCCACGCTTCTACTGTACGCTCAACTGTGTGCGGGGGGTGCCAGGCCTGCACGATTCCCGGGGTTGTCGGAGCCAGATCCACTTTGATCCAGAAGTTGAGGCACGTCGCATACTTGCAACCGCTGGAAGAAGGGCTGAGACAAACACACCAGACCACACGCAGGTGGCGAGTGACCAAAAACCAGCATTGGCGAGAGCATGCACATGAGCCCAAGTACAGCAAGTAACCAGCTCTAAGATCAATTGCGCCATCTGTTCTGTCACTACCGTGTGTGCGGTGATCAGCTGGCATGGCACTTCGATTTCGCAAAATCGGCGCGCGGCAGTTTTAGCTACGGCGCGTATCCAATAGCAAAATAGCACAGTAGCAATATGCGCGCGCCCATTGGCGCCGCCGCGCTTCGCCGCGCTGCGGCCTTCGGCCGTTTGCAGCAACATCAGCTACGCTCCCGCTGCGCCGCGGCCGCGCGGGCGGCCCCCGCGGCGCTGGCGCACCCTGTAGTGTACCACCCGGACTTCCAGCTGTCGCCGCTGCCAGACGGCCACCGCTTCCCGATGCCCAAGGACCACCTGCTGTACCTGCGGCTGCAAGAGCTCGGCCTCGCGGGCCGCACCTTCACGCCAGAGCCTCCTGATGTCGGGACGCTCTGCTTGGTGAAGGCGGGACCGCACAGCCGCGCAGGGTGGGGTGCACGTGCACAGCTGCATGACCCCTGTAGCCCGCGGCCGATGCTCAGCCCATTCAACTGTCAGACCAGCACGAAAACGGAGCCTGTCTACCGGTACTAGCGAAGCTGCGCCGTGCGGTAGCCGCGCGCTAATGCGCGTTCAAAATCGCCAACCGCAGGTCCACGATGAGGGCTACGTGCGGGCCTTCCTGGATGGCTCTATAGACCCCGCCCTCATGCGCCGCATCGGCCTGCCGTGGAGCCCCACGCTCGTGCGCCGCACCCTAGTCGGCGCCGGCTCGGCGGTGCTGGCCGCGCGGCTCGCGCTTCAGCTGGGGGTGGCGGTGATGTGCAACGGCGGCACGCACCACGCGCATAGAGACTACGGCGCTGGTGCGCAGCGCTCCCGGCTGGCAGCAATGATCAATGATCTTTTGACAGGGCTCGCATTGCTGCGCTGCCAACGAATATCCAACCCTAGGGCCATGTACCCTGTGGCACTGTGCAGTCTTGCAGCTTCCCGCCAGCTTCCGCCCAGCCAACGCTCTGCAACCCGTGCTGTGTCTGCCCCATCTCTTTCAATCTGCAGGCTGGTGCATCTTCAACGACCAGGTGGGTTCCAAGTCGGTTGGGTGGCTTGCGGTGGTGTTGGTCTGGCCGCCCGCCCACTTCAGCCCCCTGCGCTCACCACTGCGGCAGAAGGGAATCGCCACCTGTGCCCACGCCACCCGCCGGCACAAACCCCTGTCCCACTGCCCAGGCGGTTGCAGCGCGTGCCGCCCAGCGGGACGCGGGCGTGGGGCGCTGCATGTTTGTCGACCTGGATGTCCACCAAGGGGACGGCACCGCCGCAATATTCGAGGGCGGTGAGCCCCGGCAATGCGCAGTGCGGTGCTGTGCTCTGCTGTATGCTGGGCGCGAGCTCGGCGCAGCTGGGTTCCGCAGCCACGGCGTGCGAATTCTGCCCGCGCGTACGCCGTCGCGTCTGCTGTCACAACATGCAATTGTCGCTCGCGCGCAACAGATCCATCTGTCTTCACCTTCTCTATGCACTGTAAGGACCAAGGTGAGGCGCCGCGCCGCTTTGCCGCCTGCCCAGCTGTCACAGAGCTCACAACAGCGAGCAGGCCGCTTGAAACTGTCTCTGCAAAGCCTGTGCAGGCCCGCAGCTGACGCCCTTACGATACTCATGCAGGACAGGGCCAGCCTTTACACACAGACCCCATCACGCACTCTACTCCCGACTTTATGCGTGTCCGCAGGATTCCCTGCGCGGTTGCAACAGAGCGACCTGGACATCGCCCTGCCAGCTGGCACGAGTGACCAGGAGTATCTTGGGGTGAGTGTGTGGGTGTGTGTTTGCATGATATGATGTGCTGTGCTCTGTGTGCGTGCTGCAGGCCTGAGAGTTTGCAACCGCACACAGTGTGTGCTTCCCGCTTCTCTTGTACGTCTGTTACATACAAAACCCTGAGCAGAACAACATGCCTTGCACATCCACCTGAAGCCACACTCACATGTTTGACGTATGAGTGAACACAGTAGCCCTTCATCCTAGGCATACACGCAGTATCTCTCCCCCCTCACAACCGCGGGGCACGCACCAACGCCGGGCATTGCAGGCGCTCCGCGCCACGCTGCCGCGCCTGCTGGCAGAGCAGCAGCCTGGCCTCGTGCTGTACAACGCGGGCGCTGACGTGGCGGCGGGCGACGCGCTGGGCAAGATGGCGCTCAGCGACGCCGGCATTGCTGCACGCGACCGTTACGTCATGGCCTGCTGCGCAGAGGCCGGGGTGCCCATTGCCGCGGCAATTGGGGGTGGCTATGCGGAGGACCACTCGAGCATTGTCGAGCGGCACGTGCAGCTGCACAGGGCGGCGGCGGAGCACTGGGGTGCCCTGGCGGCCGCAGCTGAGCGGCGGCGGGCGGCAGCGCAGCAGGCGCGGCGGCCGAGAGAGAAGCTGTAAATCTACTTACATTCCCTTTGAGGACACAGCGCACATTACATGTCAAGACTCTCCGTCATGAACACATTGGGCAAGTGATGTTGTCGCCAACTGCAGGACAGTCACGCGCGTGTCAGGTGCAGCCGATTCATCGCGCACGCCGCAAGCTGCCACGGCGTACCACAAAAAGTCACACGCGAATCGTAATCCCCTCACCCACAGACCTCAGAAAAGGTCGGCCCCAAAGGACGAGATGCCCCTGCAAAAGCCCCTTGTGTGACCGGATAAAAGCGCCAACACTGCGTTTTACCCGAGACGGCTTGATGTTTGGGAAGAGCAGAGACCTGAATGCATGCCAGCGTTCAAGCGACTGCTTTGCAGCAGCCGTGAAGCATTGTCGGTGCCGGTTAGGCCCACCGACGCGCGCTCGACGTGAGTGCATCGACGGGCATCGGACGGCTGACCGACGCGCATGTCGGAAGCGATGCGCCCAGCAGCTGCGCGGCAGGATTTGCCACGTATTGCGGGCGTGCGCTCGGAATCCAAGGAATTGAAGGCTGGTGGGGTCCACCAGCACAGCGATCACGCAAGGGGCGTTGCATGCTGCGCGCACAGTGGTGCACAAACAACGGTTGGTGCCAGAGGGCCGCTCGCCGTCGGGGGCCCCAAGACAAAGGCAGTAGAAGAGCAGGAAAGGGAGGAGGCGATGTGGGCGATTACCCAAGGAATGCTCCGTCCGGGCGGCCCTGTGCTTTCACGCGTGCGCGGCAAGGCGGGCACGACGCCGCGGAGCTGGCGTGCGGGCCGGTGGCGGCATCCTCAGGGCACCCACGCAAGGCCACGGCGCGCGGCACGCGGGTCGCTGCACATCACAGAAGCGATTCTGTTGCAAAAGGCTTGTAGGTCGCTGCACTGCTGCAAACGCCACCCACCAACACTGCGGCCGACGACACGCAGTAGGCATAGACCACGGCGTAGGGGTTTATATGGCTGTCTAACATCCAGGCGCCAGGCGCTCTGCGCGACACCAGGGCGTCGCCCCTCCCTGGACAGCTCAGCTCGCTGCCTGCAGGCGCGGCCCCGTCGTTACGCGTGGCGGCAGCTGCAGCGGCGGCGTCGCGGCCTTCTTCACCGGAAAGGGCTGCTGCGGCTGCTTGGGTGCGGCCCGCGGCGCCTGCTGGCCCGGCTGCGCCAGGGTCTGGGCAGCCAGCAGCGTTGGAGCCGGCGCGGGCGGCGCCTGCTGCACCTTTGGGGCTGCCTTGCGGCGCGGCTCAAAGAGCGGGGGCTGGTTGCTGGGCGGCGGGGGCGAGGGGCCACGGGCGATTGCCATGCGGGCGGGGCCGTCGGGGCAGAACCGGGCCGTCGTTCGGCGTACGTAGCCTGCAAGGGGGCAGGAGTGCCAGGGAGGGGCTGAGCGCAGGGCGTGGTGGCTGGGAAGGCAGGGCTGGATGCCAAACGCATCCTTTCCGTGACGATTTCCGTGACGATTTGAAGGACAGTGCAAGCCAAGCCCTGGCCACCTTGGGGCAACGCAAGCCCCAAGCGTCCATGCGAGCAGGGTTGCTGTTTGCGGTAAGGCCCCCCTCACGCTGACTCACCGAGGCCGTGGCAGGCGACGCAGGTGTGCAGGTTGCCGCGGCGGCCGTTGGACACGTTGCGGGCCCAGCCCGTGCCGCTGCACACCGCGCAGCGCGCCTCGTACACATGCGCTGGGGTCTGCGCATGTGGCCGAGAAAGGAGAGTGGGTAAGCGCCCAGGAGACTGCCAACCAGCACAAGCAACGGGTAATCGAGGACTGCATGCAAAGAAGAGAAACGAGAGGTCCTACCCTGCAAGGTACATACACGAATGCAGGAGACACAATGAGTGACAGCTGCGCGATGGCGCACCTTGCAGGCGCGCTCCTCGGGGTCGCACGCCTCCTCTTCGTGCTGAAGCGTCTGCAGTGGGGTTGCAGCGCACGCAAGCGGCTTGGGCGTGAGAAGCAGTGGCGAAGCATGCACCCAGCGGCCAGCCTACATGCGGGCAGTAACTTGCACATGGGTCCCTCCATCAAACCCAGTTGCACTTGTGGTCAGGCTTCCAGAATGAGGTGCCGTGCGTTATCGCGGCCGCTGCTCACCAAGCCCGCTGGCGGGAGCGTACGGTAGGGGTGAAAGAGGGACAGCGGCAGGCCCTCGGTCCTGCAGAGCCCATGCAAAGCGGCAAGCGGTGGCAGCAGAGCACCCGCAGCGTGAGCGGCGTGCCTTACAGTACAGCGAGTGGCGCGCGATCTGTTGTTGTGGAGACAGCGCCGCCGAGCAGTTCTCGTGCATCATACACAGCATACACGTTACAGTATGTCGCTCGAGGCAGCGTGAAGGACGCCAGTTTACGACACCGTTGCAACTTGTCACTCACAGGGGCAGGTGGTCGTGACCAGAGCCATCGTGATCACGAGCCGAGCGCACGACGATTGCCATTCGAGGCACCGCAGGCTGGAGCCTGGCGGAGGTGGGACCACGCTGCACCACTGCGGTGCATCTAGCTGCGGGTGTGGGGCCTGCTAGCGCCATCACAAATAATCAAGTTCTTTGATTGATTTGCAGACGCCGATGCGTACTTGCAACGCCGGCCTCGAATGATAAAGAGAGTTGAAGTTGTGTGTGTTGCGTATGGGATCAGACTTATGATATGACAACGATAAATGACATCAATATATCAAGGACTTCTATACAACCCACGCACCACGTAATTTCAAACAACGACGGCCATTTGCTTCAATGGGGAGTTGACCGGCGTTGCACACGTTGGTGTCGGGCCCTTCTTACATGTCTGGAAGCCCATGTTCTACAGAGCAATGCGACATCAAACCTCTGGCGAGACTGGGGTAGAGCCGAGGGGGGAGTGTCCCGGCGTGCTGCTGCTCGATATCTGCGGCCTTTCCCTATCCCAGCACGTACGCAGAGCAAATAAGAACCAATAACCAATACAACTCGCTTTCCGAGTGTACCGTACTCCAGATCATCACTTGCACCCGCTTGCACTTCGTCGCCATCACTACACACTCATTGGCGTCGGTATGCCCGCAAAGAGTTGTAAAAGTGATCTTGTACCAGCGGTAAAGCCCCACTGGTGTGGTGGCGTGGCGAGTCAAGTGCCACATGGGCGCATCCGCAACGCGCGACTGCCCCGGCAACGGGGCTCACCAGCAGCAGCAGCAGCCAGCGACGGCCATGTGGGCTCAGCCTCCTTTAGCCCCAGATCTGGCAGCGGCTCGGCCGCCTTTGTTGGCCCAGCTGCCCCGCCAGCAGAAGCCCCAGCCGTGACAGCTGCACAGCAGCCAGCCAGTGCCAAGGCTCCGACGGGTGTGCAGCAGCTGCGCGAGCAGCTGCAACGCTATGGCTTAGCTGGCCTGCTAGCATACGGCCTGCTGAACACCGCCTACTACAGCTGCACGTTCCTGTTTGTGTGGGTGTATGTGGCCAAGGTGCCGCATGGCCTTGGGCTCCAGGGCGCTGCCTTGAAGTTCCTGGAAGTGTTCGCGCTCACGTGGGGCGGCAGCCAGGTGATCAACAGGGAGGGTGGGCTCACGCACGTGCCCATATTGATGGAGCAGCGAGCAGGGCTGCGTGTGGCGGGGCTCAGCTGCAGGCGTCCTGATTTGAGAAAGCGGGGCGCGGGTTGGGGACACAGCAGCCGCTCGCTTGCTGCTTCGCAACACGTGACGCCCGCTGTTGTTGCGACGTATGCCTTATATTACAAATCCTGGTACACCATCTGCTACCGCTGGATCTGCCCACAGGTGACCAAGGTCGCGCGCGCTGCTGGAGCGCTTGCGCTGGCACCGCTGGTGGACCGCCTGCTGGATGGGGCGAGGGGCGCGCTGCAGCTGCAGAGCAAACGGCAGGCGTTTGGCGTGGTGGTCTGTGGCTGCGTGGCACTCGCGCTGCTGCTGTTTGCAGCTGTTGTAAGCGCATATGCATAACGCTATCTGTTCCAGTCTGTAGTTTTTCACTGCCTCAAAGTGTGCAGTGATGCGCATTTTGGTGCCGGCCTGTATATAAGGCACAAATGGTCTTTGTCAAGAGCCTACGCGGAGAATGTGCAGGGCCGCATACGAGGCATGCAGGGGTCGTCTTCTTGAAGCTCAAGTCTTGCCAGCTCCCCGCATGGTCACTGCATCTAACACTAGTCAACTGGCGAAGCGCACCGCTTCTGGGTTTGGATGCAACAGCGTTCGGGTGCGATCACAACAGTCACCTGCAGCCTATCCCTTGCAGGCAGCAGGCTGGAGTACCGCACAAGTATACCCAATGCACCCTGACCTGCCCAAGCACACGAATGGGCAGCTGGACTCCTGGATCTACGTTTGCGCAAAGAACGTCGTGGGTTGCGTGTTGCAGGGAGCAAGTGGCAGCGGCCAACACGCTAGGTTTCGGGCAAGCAAGTGCCGTCAACAGTGGACATGCGCCATGCAGGCCGCCTGCGTGCACACCGTCATGCTCGCTGCGCTTCGCTAATGTTCACAGGGCGACTAAAGCGCGCGGCTTACGCTGCCAGAGCCTGCATGAGAGGTGCAACACCCCAATATCAGACCAAGCCTGTGGGCGTGCAACTTGCCAGCTCACAGGCTGGCAGTTGAGTGGCAGCGGCCCAGGGAGACACACAGTCTGCAGCAAGGGCGGTGGATCATAGCATTGCATAGATTTGAGCTGCTTGCGCGTGTGCCAAGATCAGGGCTTGTAGAATGGCGATAAGAGGGAGTGCAAGGCATTCCGAAGGATGTGCTCAAGGGGTGTGCCCGAACCCATGAGACTATGAGAGCTTGAGTATGCCGGTGTCATTTGAGAACTGTGGCTGTGGGCAGCATTGCGCAACAATGCACTCGCAATCTGTGTGTGATGTTTGTTGGCGTTCCTGCTGACCGCCACATTGCATTCACGCCAGCTTCACTGCATCCGGTTGACTTTGCAAAGCGCACACAATGATCCACAAGTGGAGGTGAAGGGGAGGGCGAAGGTCGGCGTACGCTCCCAACAGAGCATGTAATCAAAGATACAGTTTCTATAGATACTTCTATTGGTTGGCAAGCACGTGGCATACAGTCGGGCAGATCAGCGACTGTTCAAAATGATCTGGGTCAGGTCTGGTTTACAAAATGCAGTCACGTGAAGTACACGCCTCCCCAGGGAACTCCCCGGAGCTTGCACATGTGGTAACGCTGCAAATCGCTGGTGCACCAGCAGCACCCGTCAAGCCTGCCTGGGAGAAGGTGCTGTGGCGCCGGCAGCCATATCCCGACAATTACACGGACCCCACTTTCCTGAAAGCCCTGGTGGGTTTGGGGCTTGCAATGCAACAAGCGCAAAGCAATGTTCGCACGCAGCTCGTCTTCCAGGGGGCCGCTGCAAAAGCTGACGCAGCGCGTTGTTTCGGCTGGTGCCAGGAACCGCACGCAGCTGCCGCAGCCGTCGACCCTCGCGTCCGCCTCAGGGTCCCGCACTCGCGCCTCAAGCCCCGCCCTTATCCCGCCCATGCGGGCGGTAGGTCGTCAACGCGGACGTCCCCCGCCGCGACTTCCGGCCGGTCGCGCTGGGCTCGGCAGCCGTAACGCAGCAGCTCTCAGCGGTGACCGCCGCCGTGGCTGTCGCCGCGCACCTGCACGCTGGCTCGGTGTCGGCGCGCAGCGTGCTCGTGCTCTCCGCCGCCATGCTGCTAATCGGTGGGCAAGGGGCGAAGTTATGCCCGTGCCATGCGCTCGGGGGAAAAACGCGGGTGCGTCGCCCATGCATGGCGCTTGCATGCCATTGCCGCGCTGGGTGCCGCGGCGGCGCGGCGCTTTACAGCAGCGTGGGACCTTCCCGCTGCAGGTGGCGGTTTCTGCTGCTTTGTGGGCGGCCACATTCTGGGAGGATCCCTGGTGAGTGCGGCTGACGATGTGCACGGCAATGGACGCCGCAGCAATCCCGTGTTATGCGAGCCTCCAACCCAATTCAGTTGTAATTCGTCGGCCCGCGCTCATCCCACAGAAGCGCGGCGTGCGCCAGGTCTCACTGCTGACCGGAGGTGGGCTTGGCCGTTTTGGGCGCATGCTTGCAGGCTTTGTCTGTTTGCACATGCACCCGGTGGGAGGGGAAGCACATGGCCACCCGCCAGGCACGCGCATGCATTGGGAGAACGCATGGCCGCCCTCCAGCGTCCCGCGTCGCGCAGGGGAGCGTCAGGCCACCTTCCAGCCCGGTCAACCCCTGCAGGCGTTTACCTGCTGTCCCCTCTACTGCGGACGCTGACCAAGACCATCAGCGAGGACTCCGTCATCGCGATGACTGTCGGCCTGCTCATCATCCATCTGTACCTTCACGATTACAAGTGAGGCCGCGTTCCGCCGCCCTTGTGCGCCCGCCCAGCAGGCTTGCAACCACAGGGCCCGCGCCGTTGCGATCGCGCACAGCCGCTGGCGGGAATGCAGTGGCGTTCGAGGCGGCAAGCCCTGAAGCGTAGCCCAAAGCTGCGGTTGGCTTTCGCATGCCCTCGACCACCCCGCAGCTTCGTCAATTCTGTGACCGATCGCCTCACTGGAGCGGTGTCGCTCAGCGCCGCGGTGTTCTCGTCCGTCCTTATTGCCAGCTGCATGCCATCCGAAATGGACGTGGTGGGCGGGGGGTCGAACAGGAGCGAGGGCGCAGCGGCATGGAGGGGAAGTGGTAACCTTGGAGTAGGATGGATCTTCGTGCTGTTAGTTCGCCGGCATGCGCACTGGTGCCTGCACAACTGTCACTCTGTAATGATGCCCTAGGGGGCTGCTCCACAAGCCTCATATTTCCCTCTTCGCTTGCCCACATCGTCCCATTGGCAGTTTGCTCATGTGCTGTTTTGCTTGGAGTTGTACCTGCTCTCTCCCTTCATGCGGCGGCACGTCCGCAGCGCCTCGCCGGCCGCCCACGTTGGCTTGACTGCAGCCATGGCCGCTGCCGCTGCGGCGCTGCTCGCACCGCTGTCGGTGGCGCTTGCTTTGCTGTTTTTGGGCGTGGTTGTGTTTGTATCGCTGCTGTGCCCATGGTGGCTGGTGAGGATCCACAAATTCAAGGCCAAAATCAATGGCCCCTGGGACGAGGCGGTGCCACACGTGCCAACAGCGCTGCTGAATGGCAATGGAGGCGTCCCGGGGCCGCCGGGCACGCACGTGGGCGCGGGCGTGGCCACCGCGGCCGTGGCGGGAATGTTGGGGTGCGGAGGTTGGACCCAGGGCCAGCTTGCGCGGCTCACGGCAACGACCAGCGGATTGGAGTAAACAAGCCTATTGACAGAGGACCTTTGACCCGTCGTGGCCTTGGCTCACCTCAGCGATCGCGAACGCCTTCGGATGCCAAAAGAAAGCGCCGCCAGCGCGCCAGCGGGCGGCGCTCATTGGCCTTGTTGCGGCAACTTGTTCCAGACCCACGATAGGATTATTTTTACACTCAAAATTTCCACTTCGAGCTCCTCTGCATATGTCATTCTGGGTTCATCGCTTTCTACACAAGCGCGCCCTGTTCGGGCACACTCGAATTGTCGACGCCCCCTGAGCTGTGGGCGCTGTTTAAATAGGACAGAAATAAGTCTGGGTCACCCTTAGGGCCACAGCGCTGGATGTGGCTATCTAGGAGGGGCATTTGCCCCCGCGGGGCCTGAAAGCCTGCACAAATGGCGGTCTGCTGCTCCCTTGGCCACACCTCCTGTCAAGCGCAATCCCTGGAGCATTCGGTGGCGTGCAGGCTCACGCACGGACAGGGCGGCGGCGGCGGCCTTGACCGCTGCAGGGAGGTGCGGCCGCCGACGCTCGCCGACCTCGAAGCCGAAGCTCTGATGCCGACCAGCGTGGGGGGCCCCGCGCCCATCAGCTCGCGCCAGGGCCGCGACAAGCAGCGTTACACGGAGGATGGCGCGCGCCTGGTGGCTGGGTGAGCGCAGATCGATAGATAGAGCATAGGGCGGTGGTCGCGGCGCGCTTGCAGCGAGCTGCGTGCGCTTTATGTGCCGCTTGGCAGGAGCGGCCGCGAGGCGGCTGCTCGCTCGCGCCGATCCTGTGGGACAACGAGCTGCTGCTCTGCTCTCCGCCGCGCCTGTCCCCGCGAAGGCGCGCTCGCGCATTCAGCGCGCGCTCATGCGCAACCCTGTTTGATGCAGGTGCATACCAATCCGCTACAAGGGCGCCCCTGGCTGCGCCGGCGACGTGGAGGTGCTGCTGATCACCAGCAGGGGCGGCAAGGGCTGGGTGTTCCCAAAGGTGCGCGCGTACACGGCCCGGCCGCCACGCTTGTGCAGTCGACGGCCCCTGTGCCACCGGGCCAGCGCTGCATGTGCCCGCGCGCCACGCCGCGGCGGTCCGCAGGAGTGCCCGGCTGACCAGCCGCCTCGCTGCCTTGCAGGGCGGCTGGGAGGATGACGAGTCAGTGGAGTCTGCCGCGAAGCGGGAGACCGTAGAGGAGGCCGGCGTCAGGGGGGCCATTGAGGTGAGCAGCGGCGCGCCGCGCTGCACACCCCGTCACTGCCCGACTACGGCGACGGGCGCCCGCGGCTTGCCGCCCCCGCGGCGAGTGGCCTTGCGCTTCTGCCCCTTCCTGCGGCGTTCATCAACACTGCAAACATCGGCCTCACATCGCTGACGCCCCGCGCCACCCCTCTGTGCGCGGCCCGCCGCCCTGCCTCCCTCAACCGCCTGCTTCCGAGCAGCAGCCGCAGGTGGGCGTGTTCAGCTTCCAGAGCAACAAGCAGGCCAGGGTGGACACCGCCCACCAGGGCCGCTGCGTGGCGCACATTTTCGTCATGAACGTCGGGGAGGAGCTCGCAGAGTGGCCCGAGCACCCGCAGCGCCAGCGCCGCTGGGTG